TTTCCAGACAGGATCTGCTATTACAATAATCACAAGACTTTCATTCACATCTTTTTGGCTAAATAGTGGATCTGTGAGAATTTCTGTGTCAATTCTCATTCTTGGTATTAATTTCAGTTTCAGTTGTAAAAGTAATTTCACATCAATGTTAGCAGAGACAAAATTAAAGTTGTTTGGGTGAAAAGTTGCATGAAAAATGGTGCTAGAGCCTTAAGTGGTCACTGATGGGACCTAACCCTTCCTGTACCTACCTACTCCTTGGAGTAGTACACACTGCTGCACTTCATCCTATTGAAGTCACAGGGACTACATAACATCTCAGAAGTTTTTGGCTACAGATACTGGAAAGGCATTGAACAATGTTGGTCCTTGTCTATTATACTTGCAGATCAAACATGGTCAACACTAGGTCGGCTGCACCTGTTGTTAGCAATGGGGAAGTTCTATAGATTAAACCAGTGTATCAAATATATAGATTTAAAAAAAACCCATAGATAAAACCAGTGTGAATACTGGTCTGTTCTGTAGCTCCTTGAATGTGCACAGCATGAATGCACTGAAAGAACTTAGAAGGTCAGGAGAGGGAAAGGAACTACAGTATCAGTGCTGAAAGAATGCTGGAGTGATTCAAAAGCTCTGAAGTTATTTCTATCTTGTCCGAATTTGCAAGCTGTGTTTCAGCATCTATCTCGCAAAACAGTAGAACTGGAACATGGGTTTAGCCTCACACCAGGATTTCTCTTATTTCCATATTGTAGTTTTAATTTCCAAGGCAGTACCTCTAGCTATGGGAGTGGTTGAGTTGTTCAAAAATTGGGTTTGAAATATATGGGGGCCTGCTTTGTTCTCTGTTAAGGACTGACTTGGCTCCCACTTTCCCATTGAGTCAGTGGAGTCACTCTGGGTTTTCAGCAGTGTGACTGAGCAGAATTTACCTCCCCGACTCTCTGGATCCCAGGTTTGACTCTCAGAGCAGGGATCAGTTTGCTTTTACCTTCCACTCCCTTGCAGTCGGTGGGAGCTGTTCCTACTCAGCTGAGGGATGTGCAGCGCTGGGGATAACACTGTGTAAACGAAAGGTGGGAGGCCTGGTATATCTTATACCTTTCTGTGAGTTGCTTTTCCTGCTAATCCACTCATCCTCCTTTTTCCCCTCTTAGGGTCTTTTTCTCTTCCCACACCAACTTTAACAATACTGAAACCCCTTGAAGTCCATGATTTGCTCCATTGTGAGAAACCGTTTCAATGCAAGGTGTTTTGGGAGTGTGAAGGCTGCTGGGAGGAGGGTAAGGAATTGCTAAGCTAGGCCTTCTGTGAGAGGGGTTGTCTCCTGAGATTTGGGTTTGTATAGAAGCCAAACCTCCCAAGTGGACCTGTGGGAGAGGGTTCGCTATTCACCTCTGCTAATCGAATGACAGCAATCCTGGAGCAGTAAGTAGTGACGCTCATTTAGAAAGATTTTCCAGTCATAAAAGTACTGTGTGTCCTTCCTGTTTTCTCATAGGAACATCAAGCGTAGCAAGAGCATGGAGCGCGACATTTGATGAACTGACAGGCAAACATATTGAGCTCTTCTGCCAAAAGCACATGACCATGAACGCTCCTGGGGTGCTAGCGAAATATCCAGACATCTTCTCTGTTCTCATCATCTTCATCTTAACAGGTATAACCTTTTGGGAAGGTTGCTGGGATTTTATTGTTTGCTTTTGGTGTACAAACAAACACCCTCATTTATTTTGGACAATTTATTAAAGGCTTCTTTGTTTTCCCCAAGTTTCGGATTGACCTATTTAGCTGCTCTGGTGTTCGGACTATGCACGTCCTGTTTACAAGATCTTTCATTGGGGAAGCATTCAAGGTGTTTACAGGAACACCAGTGAAACAATCACTCTTTATGTCATGTAGAGTAAGACGGGGACAGTTGTTACCCTGAGATAGGTATGGAGGGCTTTTTTTTTTTTAAACTGTTGCAGAGGGCCTCTGTTCTGTTACTGTAACTCCTAGTCTGATGACCTGCCAGTTTATATAGCACATTGGCCAGGAAAATGTGGGGAAAAAGGATGGGACTAAGTAATAACCTAGTGTGTGACTGTTTATTTTAAAATGTGTGGACTTCAATTTGCAGCAGTGGTTGCCGGACTCAAGAGAAATAATTCTGCATAAAAAATAAACTGGTTTCTCTCTTTCCATAATATTCAAAACATGCCTTCATTTTTTGAATGGATTGCAGGGAGTATTTTGAACAAGAGCAGGAATTAAAATGAAAACTCAACTGAACTTTCACCAAAATATCAGACTGAACCTTTCAAACCTTGTCAAACATCACATTAATTCATTAAAAGGAAATCATTTTCCTGTACCTGTGTGTAGGGTTGCCAGGTGTCCGGTATTGACCCATACAGTCCGGTATTTTTGCCTCCTGTCCGGTAAAAAAAAAATCAGAAAATACCAGGCACCTGAAATGTCCGGTATTTTCTGGTATTTTTCCCTGACAGGAGGCACAAATACCGGACACCTGGCAACCCTACGACACACTCGGCAACTGGGCCCAGTCCCTAGCCTTCCCCCTTCCGTCCGAACCCCCTTGCTTACCTGGGGGGGGCTCGATCAAGAAAACAAAATGGCCTCCAGCAAAAAGCCTAGGGACCTTCCCTGAGTCTTAGTGCTCAACCACTCCCCTCTCTCACTTAAAGGGGCCATGCTGTTTTGTTTTGTTTTGTTTTGTTTTGTTTTATTTTATTTTATTTTATTTTATTTTATTTTATTTTTACTTAATAACTATTGGGGTCTTTTTTTTTTTTCTCTCAACAACTTTGGTCTTCCCCCTTTTTTCTCCCACTCAACAGAATTTTTCCCCTGATGTGGTTTTTTTTTTTTTGGGGGGGGGGTGGGGGGGAGGTTTGGTATATTTGGTTAAACCATCTGGCAACCCTATCTGATTGTTTCCTAGTGGGCAAGAGGTGCCATGATACCACAGAGGCTCTGCTTGCAATACTTTAGGTCTAATTAGAAGCAGGAAGTGTCAGAACTCTTAGAAGGAAGCATATTCTTATCAGGTTCTCAGCCTGCAGCCCTGAACTTGCAAGCCCTTTGATAAGTATAGAACTCCTGTTGAAGTCCATCAGAACCCCTCATGTACAGGGCTTGAAAGGTTGATCTTAACTTGGCAGATTTTGTACTTGGTTAATCTAGATGTAGTGGAATGGCTTGTGATTTAAATTGGTCGGTCTGATTAGAATCTGGCCTCTCAGGTTCCCTTTGTGTTTGATTTGGATCAGTATTCTAATTACTTAAATATCCTTATCTGTAGTGTTTCATGCACCGTTGTCTGAGAGTAAAACTGCATCTGCAGCTTTTTTCTACTGCATGGGATACTTCTTAAAATTTTACAAAATGGCTGAATCTTAGTGGCTTATGAATAAGCAGCTTTATTTCCATATGTAAGCAGAAATAAAGCTAGGTTTTGCAATTGAGTCATTGGTGGTAGATCGGAAAGCATGTCCACGCCCCACTATGTGGTAGTAATGGCTCCTGGCCCCTGTGCTGGGCCTGGCTCCTTACTCTTGATGTTGAGATGTGGTGCATGGGATCACAGCAACATTCTGGTTGAGCCCAGCTTGGCAGACGGGTGGTTGGGCCAAATTTGACTGACACAATAGCTAAGAGCTGGGCCCAGCTGCTCTTGTCCAGTGAATACAGGGCAGACTTGCTGCAGCCCCGTGTGAAAGTTTCCACATGTGCACCTAAAGCCTATCGATTGGTCACTCCCTGCTCTTCTATTAGCTCTGCCAATGCATATAAACCTTGTGGTTTGAACCTATCTCAACTCTTGAGAATCAGCTGCTTTTTGGTCCCCTATTTTCTGGTAGCTCACCCTGCTTTATCTAGATTTTCTGCTATGTCCACTGGTTATTTCATGGCTTATTTCCTTATTTAGAAAATACAAACATGGGCTTTTCTTGTACAGGGATCAGACTAGACAATCACATTGGTCCTTTTTCACCATATAATCTATGAATCCCACAACTATGAATGAAATAAACTTATTGTTGGCCAAATCCTGGTCCCATCACAGTTTTTCCTTTCCCACCTCAAACACCCAATGCTTTTGCCAGGGCTGAGTCCTGGCACTTCTAGGCTTAGCAGTTCATAGCCCCAGCACCTCTGGGCTTGCTGCATCGGTAATGAAGAAGGCTAAGATTTTATCACGGAAATTTTAGTAAAAGTCACGGGCAATAAAAAAAAAATTCATGAAAGCCCATGGTCCATCCCTGACATTTACTAAAAATATCTGAGACAAAATGGGGGACTACTGGGCAGCTGTGAGCTCCAGAGATCTTCACAGTCTGAGGGGACTTGCAGGCTTGGGGTACCCCACCACTCAAGGTGGCAGGGAGCAGCAGGTCTCCCCATCAGGAGCTACAGAACTCCACCTGCAGTGACTCAAATCTCCCTTGTTGCTTGCAGTAGCCCAGAGTTCTGGGCTCACCCTGCTGCTCACAGGGGCTTGTAGCTCCAGGATACCCCCCCTGCCACCCATAGCAGTTAGAAACTTCTGGGAGCACCCCCTACCTTCTCTAGCAGTGGGGAGCTGTGAGGGTGCCTCCTCTAGCAGTGGGGAGCTGTGAGGTCTCCTGGCTGCCCACAGCAGCCTGGTGCGGAGAAGTACCCCTGCTGCCAGCTCCCGTGAAGTTCCCTGTCACCACAGGCTGGAGTCATGGAGGTCTCTGGATCTCATGGATTCTGTGACTTCCATGACCTCCATGCAAAATCGTAGCCTTAGTGATCAATGTAAAAAAATGGCTTGAGCCCCACCATCTCTTTCATTACAAATTAAACACTGCTCACGCCTCATGTTGGTATTTATCACTAAGACTGCATGTTAGATTGTGGGAACACAAGTAACCTCTTTTTTAAACAGCAAGCAAGGGAGTAGGAATGCTAGTTAATAGCTAAAGTTTGAAAAAGAAAACAAAATCTGTTACCCTGAATGTAGAGTGCTGACTCCTTGTCCTTATTGCTGGCACTTCATATGTTATTCAGCAAGCTGAAAGTTTATTATTAAATGGGCTAAAATTACACTCCCAGAGAATTCAATGCCAGAGCTCCCCTTGGCTACACTGGGCTCTGAATCTTCCCCAGGTCTGATTGTTCAATTTAAGCGCCACGTAATTGATGTGTGTCTTGTGTGTCTGATCCCTGCACTGGCATGATGCCTGCCCATCTTCCCAAAGAACTGTGGAAGTATTGGTGACTTCTGTGCTTTAGCCAGGGCTTGCATGACCACAGTGAACTATTTCACAAAACCCACCCATGATGCTTTCTCCAAGACCTAGAGCTCAGCTGATCTGTGGTCTCTGGATGGAATTTGTAGTTACTAAGGGCTCGGTCTTCTTGACTTTAATAACACTGCTTTCATGGGGGAAGAAAAAGCGTTTGCAGGATTGGGCCCTCTGTTGTCTTACAAGACTTTTACACAACCTAGCAGAGTTCCAGCGTCAAGAGTCCAGGCAACTGCTATGTAAACCTCTTAAATGACATTTTATTAGTATAGTAATGCAATGAGAGAGAGACACACAAAAAGTCAGGGCTTTCCTTACTCTCTTGTGGCTGGGCCCTGTTGAAGGAGTGTCTTTTTTGTAATTTTTCCAGGGCTTTTATCTTGTGGAGTGAAAGAATCTGCATTGGTTAACAAAATATTCACCTGTATCAATGTTCTCGTCCTGGGCTTCGTTATGGTGTCCGGCTTCGTGAAGGGATCAATCAAAAATTGGAACCTCACCATCGATGACATCTATAACATGTCCAACACTTCATTTCGAGACAAGTATGTCACAGCATTTCTTCTCTCCTCTGCTCACATTTACTTATTGAAGTTGATCCATTTTCAGGGACGCTGGGAGGTTCATGCATGGCCATTGTGGGCCAAATTCCAAGGCTTTGCCAAGTGGGCACTCAGTCAGTGCTCAAAGCAGAAATCTCTGGAATGTCAGTGGAAGTTTTGCATGAAGGAGGTTGACTAGACACTTGGGACTAAATCAGCGATGGGTAGCCTAGGCTGGTGAGTGGGCCCCATGAGTGGCCCTTCTTCATCCCAGTGGTCTGCAAGATTTTCGTAACCTAGGTTAGGTCTACACTACAGTCCTTTGTCGGAAAAAACTACGTAAATTGGGCTCTGCAATTTGTGTAGCTTTTTCCGATCACTTTTCCAGAAGAGGCTTTTCTGCCATTTGGCCCAGTCTAGACGGGTTCTAGACTTTTATCTTGTGGAGTGAAAGAATCTACAGAGGAACCAACATTGACCTCCCCTGATCTGACAGATTCCTTGCCGGACGCGGGAGGTACAACGTGTAGTTGTTTCCAAATGTTACTTGGGCGGATACAGGGTGGGAAGGTGTTTAAACTGTAGTCGTCCAGCTTGAGTAATTTAAACCAGTAAATGCAATAGTAGATCATCCGTGAAGCTGATGGCTCATTCTAATAACACTGTCATCGTGGTTCAAACTTCTGTGCTGACAAGTAACCCCCTTCTTCTCCTAAACCTGGGGCCAGTCGTCTACTCAATTCTTGCCTCTTCTGGAATTTGTGCAGTTATTTCTGGCCAGGGCTCTGCTGCTGTAGAAAGCTTGCCTTTCGCACTTGGCTGAAGAATAGGAAAAGAAATAAACAACTTTAGGCCAAATCCTCAGCTGGGGGATTTCCACATGGGAAGTAACGGTCCTTTGCTTAATTGTACAGGTTCAGAATCTGCTCCTTGCTGTGAAAAAACAAAAACCCTGAGTAATGCAAAAGGGATACAAAGCAAACAAAATTAACTGCCGCTAAAGTACATGGATTTTACTGTTTAACAACCAAGTGCAAGCATCACTTCTCAGAACAAACTAATGTTGGGGGAAAACGCATAGAAGCATCTTGGAGAGACACTGTCTCAACTGCCATTACTGTTAATTTAGATTAATTTAGGTGGAGACCAGTCAGTTTATCAGCAACACGAATAAACACAGATAAAATATTAGTCATAACAGACCCATCTCGAACTGAATCAGGGCTGCCAACATTCTGATTGCAGAATCTTTGCCCAGCCTTGCCCTTTCCCCAAGACCCCATCTACGCTCCACCTCCCCTTCCACCACTGCTCTCTCCCACCCTTGTTCACTTGCTCATTTTCACTGCTCTGGAGCGGAGGGGGAGTGGAAGGCGGGGAGAGTGTGGAGGGTGAGAACTCCGCTGGGTCTGGGAATGAGGGGCTTGGAGTGTGGGAGGAGATGGGGCGGGGTTGGGTTGTGGGAGGGATTGAGGGCTCCAGCTGGGGATGCAGGCTCCAGGGTAGGACCAAAGATGAAGCTTCCAAGGGTGCAGGAGGGGGCTTTGGGCTGAGGTAGGGGTTAGGGTTGCAGGGAAGGTGAGGGTTCCAGCGGCGGTTGGAGGCATTGGAGTTGGGCTGGGGATGAGGGGTGGGGTTTAGGAAGGGGCCCTGGGCTGGGGCTCAGGAGTTTGGAGTGTGGGTACAGAGTGTGGGCTCAGGGCAGCGCTTACCTCAGGCGGCTCCCTCAGCACAGCCAGGGGGCTCAGTGCACTGCCCTCCCCCTCCCACCGCTGCCATTGCCCACTGTTGCTGTCCAGTGAGAGCTGCAGTGCCAGTGCTCAGAGCTGCAGTAGCACGTGGAACCTTCCTTGTACCTAGGGACTGCAGAGACATGCCAGCTGCTTCCAGGAGCCGCACAGAGCCAGGGCAGGCAGAGAGCCTGCTGCGCTGTCAATTAGACTTTTAATGGATGCCAGGGTCCCTTTCCAACCAGGTGTTCCAGTCGAGAGCCAGAGCCCCTAAACGGATTACACAGACACCTGCCTATAGTAACTTCAGCATCCCCTCCCCCCCCCCTTGCAGGCCTGAAGTCAGGAGCAGCACAAGACTGAAGCCCAGCGCCTGGCACACGCACATACCTTCTCCAGGGCAGGGCTAGAGTACCGAGCCCCAGCACCTGCTTCCCATTTCAGGGCTGAATCTAGGAATGGCAAGGGGCTGAAACCCCAAGCTCCCAACCCTGCCAAGTCGGGATGCAGGCCGAATCCTGATCCCATAGGCAGTGTTGAGGGAGCACGAGGATGGTGCTATGGAGCAGGCAGCCATGGCATTCCTCCAGCTGCTGCTAGTGCCCAGGATGTGGCTGCTCCCAGCCCCCTTTGAGTGCTCACACAGCCAATCAGAGCTGTCTAGGCGGGGGACCTGCCCCTGCACCCTGAGTTACTCCTTGGTCTGTGCACAGCCCCTAGCTGTCTCCTGCCTGCACCCTGGGCTGTTACTGTACCCACACACACACCCTATCTATCCCCTGCCTGCACCCCGAACTACTCCCTGTCTGTGCACGGCCACTCAGGAGAGAGAGTGACACCCAGCTGATTAGCAGAGTGCTCACGCTTGGTTTGGTTTCTACTGGTGGTGCACATTCCCACATGCCTCAGTGCACATAAGCATTTTATTTTGCACATGGATGCAAATCATCTGCACGTGAATGGAAAAGATGAGAGAGAACATTACCTCTCCCTACCCTAAGAGGTTTCAAACTGTTTGAGCTGAATCCCCCCCATTTAAGTTATATTTTTGGCTTGTGGCCCCTCCCGGCTCATAGGCATTTAGAGTTTCTATAGCATTTTAAGGGGACGGCCTCAGAAAGAAAAAGGTTGAGAATCCCTGCCCTGAGGACCAGCATTGCAAAGATACGTATGTGCCTACAGATGCTGGTAGTGCCTAAGCAGATTCAGTACCTGCTTCCATTAATTTCAGTGGAGTTTAGCACCTAACCTGCTTGGATGCTATTGCAACCCAGTAGGTACTTGTCTGGACCTTATATACCTTTGAAATCCGACCCTAAGCATTTTAATAAAATGTCAGTCCCAGATTATGTGAGTTCATTGCCAGGTGCAAATCAGAAGTCCAGTTGCCATAATGCTGCAAATCCTTTTCTCCTGGCCAAGGCCTGAGTCAGAGAACTTAGCAGTGGCGAGGCTGGCAAGGACTGTGGAGACAGGAATTCTTCCCTGAGGCTGTGGAATGCAGCAGAGCTGTTCTGAGGCTGCTCCAGCATGTCCTCTGCAGTTCTAATGGCTCCACCAGTCCTGGCTTGCTCCCTAAGCCCCTTGTGCTGGGAAATCCCCAAAAGCATAGCTCTGCAACAAGCTGGAGTGGTGCAGGCCTCTTGCATGGGCTCCTTACATCCTGCTCACCTCTGCACCACGATCAGATGGCTGTAGGGTCTTTTATGAATGTCATTCGGTTTTCAGGGTTCAGCTTATAGTGGACCTTACTTTCTGGTAAATAATTCCCTCTGTGGAAGAGGTCACAACATGACTGAGCACCAGTGTTGCCTTGCAAGTCATTGTACCAACAGCTTTTTCACCCATTAGAATTGTATTTTGGTGATATGTGGCTGGGAGACTGGGGTGTGTGCACAGTTTAGCTGCATCTCCACAATAATCAGCATTTGGACTGTAAATTATTTTCACATGGAATGGGGCTTAGGGGACTTAGCTATCTACATACCTGGCTGAATTGACAGATTCAGGGCTTAGATTATTTAATGGCTCTAATTCAGTGGTCTCCAACCTTTTATACCTAAGAACACTTTTTAAATGTCAGGGCAAGCCAGGATCTACTCCTCTCACTTCCCTGAGACCCCACCCTTTTCTTGAGGCCCCACGCTCTCCAAACCTTTCCGCGGATTACTCGTTGCTAATGGAAACTCACTGTTAATTAGTGAGTGGGTTAGTGGATAATTACACCCAAGGCATTTTGCTAGTGCTGCAGCTAGAGAGAATTTAAATTATTAACTGATTAAGTGTTTTAATTTTCTCACGTTAGTTTATCAAACTTCATTTTAAATTAAGTAAAACATTATGTCCAACACAAAAGGTTTCAATGTTTTCTTTATTTATGGCCAGAGTAGGAAAACTTTTTTGGGTCGAGCGCCACTGATCCACAGAAAAATCGTTTGGGGACCACACAAGTCAGAAGCAAAAAAACCTCTCAAACCCCCCGACCCTCACTGATGTGGCCCCAACTGAGACACCTCACTCTTCTGGCGCTCCAGCCCCCACTGGGAGAGGGGGAGGAGGGACAGGGAGGACAGAGGTTCAGGGCTTCCCATAGGCCAGATTTACTTTTCTGGGGTTCCAAGGTTAGTGGATTTTGTGGACCCCTTTAGGCTCTGTGATGGGCACAGAAATGAGAGGCTCAATGTATGGGACAGGGTTGCCAGCAAGTGGGATAGGATGGAGTGAGGAGAGGGCAGGGTCTGGAAGGGAGTTTGGCAGCAGGAGTGGGATGGGAGTATGAGAAGGAGTTTGGGGGAGGGAGAGGGTTGGGGCATTAATGCAGAAAAGGTGAAAGGGTGAGAATGCAGCTAAATTGCTAGCTGGGGAGGGAGGCAAAGTGGGGAGTAAAGGAAACTGCAGCTTCTGCAAAGTAAAATTGTATCCCCCCCTCACATCTTCTTTCTACTCCAGCCTTGCTCCTCTCAGCCGCATGATCCCTCCCCAGCCTGATCCCCTGCATCGCCCCATGCCCCTCAGTGCAATCCCTGCCTCCTCCCATCCTTCCCCCACATCCTCCCTCACCCCTTCCTCCCCTTCCTCCCCATCCCTATGTTCCCAGCGCACTCACAGGCAAAGCAGCAGTGCTGGGACTTGCAGCCTCCTGGAGGTAGCCCTAGGGCAAGGAGACAGGGGGCAGAGTCACTTCCCTGTCTGGTCCAACCCTTCGCTTACCAGCAGAGGTGATGGGGTTGGGGCAGGCAGAGCCCAGCGCTGCCCAAGGCTGGTTCCAGCCCCGTTGGGCACAGGGGGGAACTGCCTCGCTTTCCTCCAGACCAGCTGGTTGCGGCGTTCAGCCAGCTGAGGTTGCACCACACTCCAGCTGGGCTGGATCAAAGAGGGTATGTCTACACTACCACCCTAGTTCGAACCGAAGTTGCAAATGAAGCCCAGGATTTTAATTTCTCGGGCTTCATTTGCATCTTGCCGGGCGCCGCCATTTTTAAAGCCCCGCTAGTTCGGACTCCGTGCCCGCGGCTACACGCGGCATGGAGTAGGTAGTTTGGACTAGGCTTCCTATTCCGAACTACCGGTACACCTCGTTCCATGAGGAGTAACGGTAGTTCGGAATAGGAAGCCTAATCTGAACTACCTACTCCGTGCCATGTGTAGCCGCGGGCACGGAGTCCGAACTAGTGGGGCTTTAAAAATGGCGGCGCCCGGCAAGATGCAAATGAAGCCCGGGAAATTCAAATCCCGGGCTTCATTTGCAACTTCGGTTGCCTACATTAACCACCCTAGTTCGAGCTAGGGTGGTAGTGTAGACATACCCAGAGAGGCAGCCACCCAGTCAGCTGGCCACGGCGATCGACTCCCAAGGGCGCCATGATTGACCGGTCGATCACGATTGACCAGTTGGTGACCACAGCCCTTATTAATTTTGGTTACTGCCTTAATTATGGGCACAAAGCTCCTATTATGGATTCTGTTACAGGCTTCAGGAATGCACTTCAGATAGGTGTCTATACTAAGGCAAAATCTCTCCTGATCTCTTGTTCTTTTCAGTCAAACACAGATAGGATATCTGGAGCATGGTGTTGGAGGATTTATGCCCTTTGGATTCAATGGAGTCCTATCAGGGGCAGCCACGTGCTTTTACGCCTTTGTAGGATTTGACTGTATTGCCACCACAGGTAAGGAGAAAGTTCTTGTTGTGACTGAATAATTGTTTCCCATTATGAGCTTGGCTACCCTCAGTAACTTTACATGACACAATTTACTAATAACTCAAACCTCTTTTCTGCTGAATCAGGAAATCATGCTATTCACTAGCTGTCCTAAGGAATCAGTTCATCTTTTCAGTTTTAGGGTCCCTCATCCATCTTTCTTCTCCTTTCTATTGTTTCAAAACTTCAAGAATGGGCTTTCACTTCAGGGAGGCCTAGTTGAAACCAGGAAATGTAGTGGTGCACAGTGCTGAAGTGTGGGGCAGTGGGAAGAGATGATCTTGGACTAAGTATAGGATTGGGAGTCAGGAGATAGGGCTCTGTCCCCAGCTCTGATACAGTCATCTTGTATGACCTTGAGACAGTCTCTTGGGTCCTGATCTACCAGGTGCTCAAGAGAGCTGGCTCATCACAGGTTTTAATGGTTTGTTATGTTTTGTTTTTCTAGAAAAATGGCCTTTTTGAATGTTTGGCAAAAGTTTTCAGCTTCATAACATGAAAACATAGATTTTGGGGAGTTTTATCCTTTATTTTTCCCCAAGAGGAAAATGAATATAAGAAACTGAGAGGAGGATGGGGGAGAAAAACGGGACAAAAAACGGATGTTGATAAATTGGAGAGGGTTCACAGGAGAGCCAGAAGAATGATTAAGGGATGAGAAAACATGGCTTATATTATTAGACTCTAGAGCTCAGTCTGTTTATTTTAACAAAGAGCAGGTTAAGCAGTGACTTTTCATAGTCTATAAGTACCTACATGGGGAACAAAAATGTTCTCTTCAGTCTAGCAGAGGAAGGCATATACTGATCCAATGGCTGGAAGTTGAAGTTAGACAAATTCAGACGGGAAATAAGGCATCCATTTTTAATGGTGACAGTAATGCACTATGGACCAACTTTCCAAGGATCATGGTGGAGTCTCCATCACTGTCAATTTTTAAATCAAGCTGGGATGTTTTTCTAAAAGGTCTGCTCTAGGAATTATTTTTGGGAAGTTCTGTGGCCTGTGCTGAATAGACAGAGAGGAAGATTAGATGATCATAATGGTCTCCTCTGGCCTTGAACTTTATGAATCTATCAAAACCAAAATGGATACATTTTCACAGGAAAAAAATTTAAATTCAGCCCCCCTCTTTGAAACCTATGGAAGAACAACGATTGACATTTTCCACAGAGATTTTTTTGTCCGTTTTTCCAACTAGCTCAAGTTTCCTGATAGGAGCACTTGCCATTCCCTTTGACCTGCTGGAGCACCTAGGGCCAAAGTTTTCTCTGAACTCACAGGATTTATACCAGAGATTAACCTGATTCAGTGTGTCCAATGTTCCTCTGAATTTAAGATGAGAGCAACTGTATCAGGGTGAAGCACCTGACCCTATTTTGCCTCCTGACTGCCACTGGCTAATTGCCACCTTGCTCTCCCTGACTCCTTTGAAAGCCCCACCTAGCCTGGGAGTCTCTTTGTTGCCTGTGGCTGTAACGTAACTTCCTCTGTTCTAGGTGAAGAAGTGAAAAACCCGCAGAAAGCCATTCCCATTGGCATCGTCGCCTCGCTCCTGATCTGCTTCGTCGCTTACTTTGGCGTGTCGGCTGCCCTCACACTCATGATGCCCTATTACTTGCTTGATGCAAACAGTCCTTTACCCAATGCATTCCAATACGTGGGCTGGGAGGGTGCCAACTATGCAGTGGCCGTTGGTTCACTTTGTGCCCTTTCTACTAGGTGAGATGCTGTTCGCTTATACCCTTCTCCTTGCAGAATTGTGTTTCCATTGCCTCCTCTTTCTGTGTGTTACAAGCTAAGGGCCTTAGTCCTATGTCCGTTACACTGGTGTAATTCCACTGACTTCAGTGAAGTTATTCCGGATCTATGCTGCTAAGTGCTAGAGGATTCAGGCCCTTTGGGTCAGATTCGGGCCACACTGACTTCAACAGAGCCAGGATTTCACCCTGTGTCAAACAAACTTTTAGAATTAAGTTTTAGAGCTGCAAGCTCCCGTTTGTGCCACAGGAAACCATCATCTTAAGGACAGTCTGAAACTAAGTGTCTCAAACACATCATAGAGAAGCGTTGCTTTACCAGTAGCCCTGGGGAAACAGGACATGACTGACTCAGACAGACCAGACGTACGTGGGAGCAACTCCAGTGGGGTTTATGGACATTCTGCAGCTCTGAAAATGAGCCAGTTCTATGCAGGAGCTGAAATCTGGATTTAGGGTACAGAATTTAGATGATTTTCCATTGAAATCAGTTGGAGTTAAATGCCCGGAGGTCCTGGGCCTAAGTGCCTTGCTTAAGGTATCCATGTTTGCACATCTGGAACCTCGTTCCCACCAAGAAGCAGTATGACTGTGGGGATATATGACAGCATGGCACTTGGGGAAGACCTGGAATTGAAGCTTTGTTAATTAAAGCCATTCTGCTATTGGCAGGGCTAGACAAATGCACTCGCCCGCTCGTCTGTGGCGAGTGGATTTTTCCAGCTGGCGAGTGCAGGGGCGGACTGGCCCGGTGGGACATTGTGACGGGCTGGCCAAAGCCTGCACTACAGGCGGCGCGGCCCCATCCGATCCGCCGACCAGCGGAGGAGCATAGCGCTGCTGGGAAGGGGAAAGTGTGGTGATTCTTCCCACCGGGCTGCCTGCGTGCAGCTCCGGCGCGAGGAGGCGGGGCAGGACGCCAGGACGCTGGCGTGACCTGGCCCCGCTGATTTTAAAGGGCCGCGGCAGCTCGGCTCTGGCCGCGTGTCCCTGGGAACTGGCTGTTCCACATGCCGCCCCTGCTCCCCGGACATCCTGCTCTCCCTCTTCCCTGCGACCCTTTGGCTCTGCGCTGCCCTTGCATCCTGCACGCTGCTCCTCCCGATCCCTGCCCCCCATCTCTGTGCTGCCCGTTCCCTGCACTGCCCCTAGACCCCGATCCCTCTGCCCCTCCCATTCCCCTGCCCCTCCCATTCACCGTGCCTCCACCGCACCCT